TATACAATGGGCAGCACACGCAGGCCCCTACTTTTCCTTCATGAAGGACAGGTGGGGAGGATCTCTGGAGGCGGTGCTTGCTCATCCACCGGCCAGCAGCCTCTCCGCTGTCCTCTCCGCCTCCCTTATCATCCACACTCACCTTTGTGGTGCAGGACACGCTGGCTTGCTGGCTTTGTTCTTTGACCTCATTTCATTCTGAATTTTTAAAGCTTGATGTAACTGGTTTTACCCCTTCAATTCGAAAAGTTTATTTTATAAATTGAAATATTTGTTGCCACATTTTTCTCAGATGTTTAAAATGTAGCTGCTTTATTTGTAGACAGTGCATAGAGATAAATGCTGGGGATAAGGATGTTTGTTTTTAACCTTGTGTTTGATCTCTGGGTTCTAGGGGGTGTGGAAAAGGAAAGTGGTATAAATTTAATGACAAGGTTACAGAAGACTTAGACCTAAATGATGAGCCCTGGAGTGTAAATGCTTTGGTGAAGCACATTTTAAATTTAGTTTTCTATAAAATTGGAAGTAGGATTATTTACATTAAAAATAGAATAGGCTATTTTTTTTCTAGTACTGCTGCTCTGGCTATATATAGAACCACGAGTAGGTGGGGGAGGGGAAGCATGCTGTTGAAATGAGTATCAAAGAGAAACTGATAAATCTAACCTTAAAAGTTTCAGGAGAAGTAGTTGTCCGTTAAAATTTTCAAATTTCCTTTTCACTTACATAGGAGCATAACTAGAGAACATTTTTTTAGCACCTGTACTTTTACCATATTCATGAGTCAGCGTGGCAAAGCAGTCTCTACCTCCAAACCCCCACTCCCAGGACAAAAAATGTATGAGGGAAACTACATCAAAAAACCCAATCACAGTTAGCTGTTTGAAAACCATTTAGCAGAGATCTTAGCATTTCTGAAACCTAATTTTGAAATATTCTAGGGGCATTTCCAAATTTCTGCCTGTACTAGATAAACTATATTCAAGTTCCAGATCATGCCACTGTAGTCATGCGTACAATGGTGGTTAAATAGAGTATCATTGCCAGAAATTATCTAGATTTGGCCAGTCTGCAGAAATTGCCAAACGAAGCCAGGGATGATCCCACCCTGTGCCACAGAACATACTTTTAAATGTTACTTGCCATTTGCTTAAATTTGTCTTCCCTAGGATATTTATCCTCTTTCCCTTACTCTGTTACCAAACAGCTCTTATTTCCTGCCCGTCCTCGCTTATTTCCTGCCCTATCACCCTCCAAATGAGGGATCGATTTTGGTGCCAAACTGAGGTCCCCTGACTTCCAGTCTAAGTGATACCCTAAAAAGATCCTCGTTTTACTTATGCTTTGCATTCAACACATTTAGTGAGTAGTTACTTGCTGGAGTCATGGGCCCTTTGTTTTAGATTGTCAAGACAAGAAAATTTTATTTAGATTTCTCAATGCAGTGCTGTAAAGCAAACACACACTTGTGTACACCAAAGATACGGAATGCCCACGTGCTCTTCCACCAGAGGGGGTGTGATGAGAACTCCCTGGGATCACCAAAGAAGATTCGAGTCAGCTCTGTGTAGCAGAAAGCTGAGGGCCACTCTGTTCCATTGTGAACCCAAAATATGTGAGACAGGTCTCAATAAATTTGGAGACTTTACTTTGCCAAGGTTGTGGATGTGACACACTCAGGAAGTTTTGAGGACGTGCCGAAGGTGGTTGGCTACAGCTTGCTTTTAGACATTTTAGAGAGATGTGAGAGATCAACCAATATATGTAAGATGTCCGTTGATTTTGTCCAGAAAGGCGGTACAACTTGAAGCATGGGAGGGGGCTTCCAGGTCATAAGTAGGTAAGACAAATGGCTGCATTCTTTTGAGTCTCTGATTTGCCTTTTTCTGATTACACAATTTATATGTGAGAGGAGGGGAGAGTAATCTTCACTTACGCCTTAGTCTGGCTTAAGGAAATTCCTTGTGGGCAAATGGTGAGAGGGGAGGTATGGGAGGTATGTAGCCTCTTTGTCTTTGTAGCTATCTTAGTTAGGAATAAACTGGGAGCGGGTTTGCCTGATGCAGTTCCCAGCTTCACTTGCCTTTGGGTTAGTGATTTGGGAGTCCCGAGATTTCTTTCTTTTCACACCACATAACTTGTTTTATGATGTAGTAGGTGATAGTGTGATCTTTGAGAGTGTAGTATTTGGGATTTGAAGATAATTAGCTAAGCTAGGGAGAAATTCTTAAAATAATCCTAAAAAGAAAATAAATCCCTTTTCTTGCTTATTGCTTCCTGGTCTTTAATTCCTTGGCAATAACATACTTTGCATTTAGAAACATGCATGTAAGTTATTTCCTTCTAGAATTGAGATTTTTTAAAATTTACACTTGAGATTCTTTGAAAAATGTTGGCAGCATTTATTGAATTACACTTCACGTCCGAAACAGTACTATGTCAACACTTTCAGAATGTTGTTGCTTTTTTTTTTTTGAAACGGAGTCTTGCTCTGTCTCCCATGCTAGAGTGCAATGGTGCAGTCTTGGCTCACTACAACCTCTGCCTCCCAGGTTCAAGCAATTCTCCTGCCTCAGCTTCCCTAGTAGCTGGACTACAGGTGCGTGCCGCCACGCCCGGCTAATTCTTTTTTTTTTTTTTTTTGTATTTTTACTAGAGACGGAGTTTCATCATGTTAGTCAGGATGGTCTCGCTCTCTTGACCTCATGATCCGCCCACCTCGGCCTCCCAAAGTGCTGGGATCACAGGTGTGAGCCACCGCGCCCGGCTAGAATGTTGTCACTTTTTCAAGGTCTTGTCAGTGAATTTGCCTTTAATATATTAAATAAGGAAAGTATATAATTTATTTTTCATGTGAAAAATGTGATTAAATATGGTTTATTAAGTTTGAAAACTTGGTTCAATACTTCACTGTTATAAGACCTTGAATGTGTGGCTCTAAGATGAGTTTATTTCACTATTTAATGGTCGTAATGGTGGAAACAATACCTCACAGTAACACGTAGGAAGAATTCATTTTCCTGCTTACTAAGTTACGGTACTTTTAAATCCCATGTGCCGGCCGGGCGCGGTGGCTCAAGCTTGTAATCCCAGCACTTTGGGAGGCCGAGACGGGCGGATCACGAGGTCAGGAGATCGAGACCATCCTGGCTAACACCGTGAAACCCCGTCTCTACTAAAAATACAAAAAACTAGCCGGGCGAGGTGGCGGGCGCCTGTAGTCCCAGCTACTCCGGAGGCTGAGGCAGGAGAATGGCGTAAACCCGGGAGGCGGAGCTTGCAGTGAGCTGAGATCCGGCCACTGCACTCCAGCCTGGGCTACAGAGCAAGACTCCGTCTCAAAAAAAAAAAAAAAAAAAAAAAAATCCCATGTGCCAATTAAGTAAAAATTTGTGTTAAAATTTGTCCTGCAATTTTTAATTTTTTATGTTACTCAGTTCTCCAAACTAATTGGAAGATACTGAATTTTAAAAATTACGTAATTAAAACATTATAATTGTATATACTTAATGAGGCCCAGTTTGATGTTTTGGTACACATACACATTGTATAATGATCAAGCAATTTAAGTCTAACACCCTGTTCATTTGAGTTTGGCAAGTTTTAAAGTTACTAAAACAATAGTCACTTTCTACTAGACAAAGTTTTCTAGTCCTCTTAGGTCAGTTCCATCTTCACCAGCAATTTCATGTCAGTCGTCCCCTTGGTCCCGTGGACCTAATAATGCCCAGCTGTCCATTCTAACCAAGCTGGCTTAAAAAGAAAAGACTTTGAAAAGAAAAGCCTATTTGGAGAAAATGCCTGTTTAAATATACCAGTTAAGAACCATGTGAGAAATCCTAAAAGGGAGAATCCAAGTAGACGTCAGAGTGTACCTGGTAGGTCCAGAAGCACTCCCAGTGGCCTTTATCTGGATTAGTTATGCCTCTGGGGCCACATCTTTTCACCCACCTTATCTTACGAATCTTTTATGCCAGGCCACAGAGGTGGCTGCAGAGCTAGTACCATGGAGTGCTAAGGACACAGATGTGAATGTACACTCAAGATTGGCCAGCACCATCACTGAGCTGCTGTATGATGTGAGATGACACCAGACAAGAGAGGCATGGGGAGTGGGGAGTAAGGAAATACATGGCTGAAATTAACTTATTTTACCTGGAGACAAGTGAAGGCTCATAATCATTGGGTAATGACTAATAGAGCAATGATGGCCATTCTTTATTGTGTACCTACTCTGAGCTACGAGCTTTAAACAAGTCTTCAACTCTTAAAATAAAACACTCTCAGAGGGTGACAGGTTGCATTTCCATTTTTTCAGATGAAAAAACAAGTCCAGAAAAGGAAAAGTGAGCATCCAGTGTCACAGAGCACGGATTTAAATTCAGAACTTCTAGCCAGTCTAGGCTTCTTACACTAATCAAAAATGACAAGCCATATATATATGGCTGGATGCAGGGGCTCACACCTGTAATCCCAACACTTTGGGAGGCTGAGGCTGAGGGGGGAGGATTGCTAGAGGCCAGGAGCTGATCAGCCTGGGCAACATAGTAAGGTCCTGTCTGTACAGAAAAAAAAGCCAGTTGTGGTGGCGTGTACCTATACCACCAGCTGCTCCACAGGCTGAGGCAGGCAGGAGTTCAAGGCTGCAGTGAGCTGTGGTCACACCACTGCAATCCAGCCTTGAGTGACAGAGTGCGACGCCTCTCAAAAATTTATAGGCGGGGCCCAGTGGCTCACGCCTGTAATCCCAGCACTTTGGCAGGCCAAGGCAGCTAGATCACGAGGTCAGGAGATTGAGACCATCCTGGCTAACATGGTGAAACCCCGTATCTACTAAAAATACAAAAAATTAGCCAGGTGTGGTGGCATGTACCTGTAGTCCCGGCTGCTTGGGAGGCTGAGGCAGGACAATCGCTTCAACCCGGGAGGCGGAGGTTGCAGTGAACTGAGACCATGCCACTGCACCCCAGCCTGGTGACAGAATGAGACTGCATCTCAAATAATAATAACAATTTATATAAAGAAATACAGATGTGGGTGGAGAGGTGGAAGGGAGTATGGGCTGAATCTAGGCAGGAACCAGAACCAAAGGGGCCATGTGTGCTGATTTATTTAAGCTCAGGAGCTGTGAGGGCCACTGAAAGACCTTGTGTGGAGACTGATGTGATCTAATTGGCCTCCTAGCAAAGCCCTAGCTAGCAGGGGTGGAGGGGGATGGGTGGGAGGGAAAGAGAGTAGTTGGAAAACCCATCAGAACAATCTAGGCAGGAGATAGCATGGCCCTGCTGAGGCTTCCGGAGTGAGGATGGAGAGACAGGCAGATTGGGGTGCTGTTTAGAAGGTGAAAAGTGGTGTGAATGCAGACACGCAGTCTTTCGCTGAGGTGGGAACAGGTGGATCAGGTGAGAGAAATGTGAAGAAACCAATAGGACTCGTGTCTCCCTATGCATGTGGAGTGAGGGAGAGACCCTGGGGATGACTCCTGGGCTTCTGACAGGGAGAGTGGATGACTGATGCCTTTGGCTGAGACACAGGACCTTCTGGAGGAGTAGCAGAGGGTGGGGAAGAAGAGGCAGGGTGAGCCTGGCTTTCTACCTGGTGAGTTCGGTACCTGTGGGTTGTCCAGGGAAGAGAGCTGGGAGGTGGTTTTGTACGTGGACCTGAAGCTCCATCTAAGGCCCAGCAGCCTAGGGGGAACTGATGTGACAGGCCGATGGAGTGTGCACAGTGATGAGAGTGGAGCGCAGGGCTGCTTCATCGGGGAGCACCGTAGCCCAGAGGCTCCTACCTCTGAGCTTTCTGAAGGTCTGAGAGAAGATCAGAAACCTGAGTAGAAACCTCTAGCTTATTAGAAAGAAACCAAAATACCAAGAAAACCAAAATGTAACAATCTTGCAAAATATATTTCAAAAGCAAAATTAGAGAAAGGTATTCAGTCTCTCATCTCCACAGTGAAAATGTTTCGTGGGATGTGGATGCGTTTTAGTATATTTAATACATCTGATGTGATGTAGGCGAGGCGTCTTCCAAAGATGTCGCTCCTAACATCTATGAAAGGAGGTGGGGTGCGAGAAGGCATCTGTTCCTTCACTGGGACCCACACCCTTCATTCCACAGCCACCAGGATGCTCTCCTTTTTTCCGGGGGAGAACTCCCCGTTCTGGCCTTTCCTCCATCCTACCAGGCCCATCACCCTTGCAGAGGGCATACATGTGATGCTGCGTATCAAGTTTGTGGGTTCATAACTGAAGAGCAGTTCCCACAAGATCTGCTCCTGATGAACCCTATCTGGGGTCACCTGCTCCCTCGGGTGTCCCGTTGTGGCCTCCACATGGCTTGATCTGCTCACACAGTCCCACAAGATCTGATGAACCTCATCTGGGGTTGCCTGCTCCCTCGGGTATCCCGCTGTGGCCTGCAAAAGGCTTGATCTGCTCACGCAGTCCCCACAAGATATGATAAAACTCATCTGGGGTCGCCTGCTCCGTCGGATGTCCCACCCTAGCCTCCACACAGCTTGATCTGGTCATGCGGTCCCCACAAGATCTGACGAACCTCACTTGGGGTCGCCTGCTCCCTCGGCTGTCCCACCGTGGCCTCCACACGCCTTGATCTGGTCAGGCGGTCCCTACAAGATCTGGTCACGATGAACCTCATCTGCAGTCACCTGCTCCTTCGAGTGTCTCACCGTGGCCTCCACACGGCTTGATATGGTCACGTGGTCCCAAGATCTGGTCCCGATGACCCTCATCTGGGGGTTGCCTGCTCCCTCAAGTATCCCACGGTGGACTGCACACGGCTTGATCTGGTCACGCTGTCCCCACAAGATCTGATGTCAACAAACCTCATCTGGGGTCGCCTGCTCCCTCGGGTGGCCCACCATGGCCTCCACACAGCTTGATCTGCTCATGCGGTCCCCACAAGATCTGACGAACCTCATGTGGGGTCACCTGCTCCCTTGGGTGTCCCACCGTGGCCTCCACACTGCTTGATGTGGTCACGTAGTCCCCACAAGATCTGGTCCTGTGAACCTCATCTGGGGTCGCCTGCTGCTTCGGGTGTCCCACCATGGCCTCCACACAGCTTGATCTGGTCACGCTGTCCCCACAAGACCTAGTCTCAAACCTCATCTGGGGTCTTCAGATGGCCCACCATGGCCTCCACACAGCTTGATCTGCCCAAGCGGTCTCTGCAAGATCTGATGAACCTCATCTGGGGTTGCCTGCTCCCTCGGGTGCCCTATCTTGGCCTCCACACAGCTTGATCTGATCATGCGGTCCCCACAAGATCTGATGAACCTCATCTGGGGTCGCCTGCTCCATCGGGTGTCCCATCATGGCCTCTACACACTTGGTCTGCTCAGGCGGACCCCACAAGATCTGACGAACCTCATCTGGGGTTGCTTGTTCCCTTAGGTGTCCCACCGTGGCCTCCACACGGCTTGATCTGGTCAGGCGGTCCCCACAAGATCTGATGAACCTCATCTGGGGTCTCCTGTTCCATCGGGTGTCCCACCGTGGACTCCACACGGCTTGGTCTGCTCAGGCAGACCCCACAAGATCTGACGAGCCTGAACTGGGGTCACCTGCTCCCTCAAGTGTCCCACCGTGGCCTCCACACGGCTTGATTTGGTCAGGTGGTCCCCACAAGATCTGGTTCGGTAAAACCTCATCTGGGGTCGCCCGCTCCCTTGGGTGTCCCACCGTGGCCTCCACACAGGTTGATCTGCTCATGCAATCCCCACAAGATGTAATAAATCTCATGTGGGGTCACCTGCTCCCTTGGGTGCCCCACCGTGGCCTCCACACGGCGTGATGTGGTCATACAGTCCCCAGAAGATCTGGTCCTGACATACCTCATCTGCGGTCGCCTGTTGCGTTGGGTGTCCCACCTTGAGACACGGCGTGATGTGGTCACACAGTCCCCACAAGATCTGGTCCTGACAAACCTCATCTGCAGTCGCCTGCTACCTCGGGTGTCCCACCTTGGCCTCCACACGGCTTCATCTGGTCAGGCGGTCCCCACAAGATCTGATTGGGTAGAACCTCATCTGGGGTCGCCTGCTGCCTCGGGTGTCCCACTGTGGCCTCCACATGGCGTGATATGGTCAGGCGGTCCCCACAAAATCTGATGAACTTCATCTGGGGTCGCCTGCTCCCTCGGGTGTCCTACCATGGCCTCCACACATCTTCATCTGCTCATGCGGTCCCCACGAGATCTGATGAACCTCATCTGGGGTCACCTGCTCCGTCGAGTGACCCACCATGGCCTCCACGTGGCGTGGTCTGCTCAGGCAGACCCCACAAGATCTGACGAACCTCATCTAGGGTCGTTTGTTCCCTCGGGTGTCCCACCGTGGCCTCCACACGGCGTGATCTGGTCAGGCGGTCCCCACAAGATCTGGTCCAGGTGAACCTCATCTGGGGTCGCTTGCTCCCTCAGGTGTCCCACTGTAGACACCACATGGCTTGATCTGGTCACACTGTCCCCATAAAATCTGGTCTCAACAAACGTCATCTGGAGTCATCTGCTCCCTCGGGTGGCCCACTGTGGCCTCCATATGGCTTGATGTGGTCACGCAGTCCCCACAAGATCGGATGAGCCTCATGTAGGGTCACCTGCTCCCTCAGGTGTCCCACCTTGGCCTCCACACGGCTTCATCTGGTCAGGCGGTCCCCACAAGATCTGATTGGGTAGAACCTCATCTGGGGTCGCCTGCTGCCTCGGGTGTCCCACCGTGGCCCCCACATGGCTTGATATGGTCAGGCGGTCCCCACAAAATCTGATGGAATTTCATCTGGGTCGCCTGCTCCCTCGGGTGTCCTACCATGGCCTCCACACATCTTCATCTGCTCATGCGGTCCCCACGAGATCTGATGAACCTCATCTGGGGTCGCCTGCTCCGTCGGGTGACCCACCATGGCCTCCACGTGGCGTGGTCTGCTCAGGCAGACCCCACAAGATCTGACGAACCTCATCTGGGGTCATTTGTTCCCTCGGGTGTCCCACCGTGGCCTCCACACGGTGTGATCTGGTCTGGCGGTCCCCACAAGATCTGGTGCAGATGAACCTCATCTGGGGTCGCCTGCTCCCTCGGGTGTCCCACTGTGGACTCCACACGGCTTGATCTGGTCACACTGTCCCCACAAGATCTGGTCTCAACAAACGTCATCTGGAGTCGTCTGCTCCCTCGGGTGGCCCACTGTGGCCACCACATGACTTGATGTGGTCACACAGTCCCCACAGATCTGATGAACCCATGTAGGGTCACCTGCTCCCTCGGGTGTCCCACCGTGGCCTCCACACGGCTTGATCTGCTCAGGCGGTCCCCACAAGATCTGGTACCGATGAATCTCATCTGGGGTCACCTGCTCCCTCGGGTGTCCCACCGTGGCCTCCACACGGTGTGATCTGGTCAGGCGGTTCCCACAATATCTGGTACCAATGAACCTCATCTGGGGTCACCTACTCCCTCGGGTGTCCTACTGTGGACTCCACACGGCTTGATCTGGTCATGCTGTCCCCACAAGATCTGGTCTCAACAAACCTCATCTGGGGTCGCCTGCTCCCTCGGGTGGCCCACCGTGGCCTCCAAACGACTTGATCTGCTCGTGCGGTCCCCACAAGATCTGATGAACCTCATGTGGGGTCACCTGGTCCCTCGGGTATCCCACCATGGCCTCCACATGGCTTGATATGGTCACGCAGTCCCCACAAGATCTGGTCCCGACAAACCGTATCTGGGGTCGCCTGCTACCTCGGGAGTCCCGCCACGGACGCCACACATCTTGATCTGCTCCTGCGGTCCGCACAAGATCTGATGAACCTCATCTGGGGTCGCCTGCTCCATCGGGTGGCCCATCGTGGCCTCCACACGCTTCGTCTGCTCAGGCGGACCCCACAAGATCTGACGAACCTCATCTGGGGTCGCCTGCTCCCTCAGGTGTCCCACCGTGGCCTCCACATGGCTTGATCTGCTCAGGTGGTCCCCATAAGATTTGGTCCTGATGAACTTCATCTGGGATCACCTCCTCCCTCAGATTTCCTACCATGGACTCCACACTGCTTCATCTGGTCACACAGTCCCCACAAGATCTGGTCCCGATGAACCTCATCTGGAGTCGCCTGCTCGGGTGTCCTACCCTGGCCTTCAAACAGCTTGATCTGCTCATGCGGTCCCCACAAGATCTGATGAACCTCATCCAGGGTCTCTTGTTCCGTCAAGTGTCTCACCGTGGCCTCCACACGGCTTGGTCTGCTCAGGCGGACCCCACAAGATCTGACGAACCTCAACTGGGGTCGCCTGCTCCCTTGAGTGTCCCACCGTGGCCTCCACACGGCTTGATCTGGTCAGGCGGTCCCCACAAGATTTGGTTCAGATGAACCTCATCTGGGGTCACCTGCTCCCTCGGGTGTCCCACCGTGGTCTCCACACGGTGTGATCTGGTCAGGCGGTTCCCACAAGATCTGGTCCTGATGAACCTCATTTGGGGTCACCTATTTCCTCAGGTGTCCCACCGTGGCCTCCACATGGCGTGATCTGATCATGCTGTCCCCACAAGATCTGGTCTCAACAAACCTCATCTGGGGTCGCCTGCTCCCTCAGGTGGCCCACTGTGGCCTCCACACAGCTTGATCTGCTCATACAGTCCCTACAAGATCTGACGAACCTCATGTGGGGTCACCTGCTCCCTCAGGTGTCCCACCATGGGCTCCACACGGCTTGATGTGGTCACACAGTCCCCACAAGATCTGGTCTTGGCGAACCTCATCTGGGTCGCCTGCTGCCTCGGGTGTCCCACCGTGGCCTCCACATGGCTTGATAGTCCCCACAAAATCTGATGAACCTCATCTGGGATCGCCTGCTCCCTCAGGTGTCCCACCGTGGCCTCCACATGGCTTGGTCTTCTCAGGTGGACTCCACAAGATCTGACGAACCTCATGTGGGGTTGCCTATTCCCTCGGGTGTCCCACTGTGGCCTCTACACATGTAATCTGGTCAGACGGTCCCCACAAGATCTGGTCCCAATGAACTTCATGTGGGGTCACCTGCTCCCTCGGGTGTCCTACCACACAGAGCGTGATCTGAGCATGTGGTCCCCACAAGATCTGATGAACCGCATCTGGGGTCGCATGGCTTGGTCTGCTCAGGCGGACCCCACAAGATCTGACGAACCTGATGTAGGGTCGCTTGTTCTCTCGGGTGTCCCATTGTGACCTCCACATGGCGTGATCTGGTCAGGAGGTCCCCACAAGATCTGGTCCTGATGAACTTCATCTGGGATCGCCTGCTCCCTTGGATTTCCTGCCATAGACTCCACACTACTTGATCTGGTCATGCGGTCCCCACAACATCTGATGAACCTCATGTGGGGTCACCTGCTCCCTTGGGTGTCCCACCATAGCCTCCACACGGCTTGGTCTGGTCAGGCGGTCCCCACAAGATCTGGTTCAGATGAACTTCATCTGGGGTTGCCTGCTTCCTCAGGTATCCCACCGTGGCCTCCACACGGCGTGATCTGGTCAGGCGGTCCCCACAAGATCTGGTCCCAATGAACCTCATCTGAGGTCGCCTACTCCCTCGGGTGTCCTACTGTGGACTCCACACGGCTTGATCTGGTCATGCTGTCCCCACAAGATTTGGTCTCAACTAACCTCATCTGAGGTTGCCTGCTCCCTCGGGTGGCCCACCGTGGCCTCCAAACGACTTGATCTGCTCATGCGGTAAACACAAGATCTGGTCCCAACGAACCTCATCTGGGGTCGCCGGCTCCCTCAGGTGTCCCACTGTGGCCTCCACATGGCTTGATATAGTCAAGCGGTCCCCACAAGATCTGATGAACCTCATCTGGGATCACCTGCTCCCTTGAGTGTCCCACCGTGGCCTTCACACGGATTGATCCGGTCAGGCGGTCTCCACTAGATCTGGCCCCGATGAACCTCATGTGGGGTCACCTGCTCCCTTGGGTGTCCCACCGTGGCTTCCACACAGCTTGATCTGATCATGCGGTCCCCAGAATATCTGATGAACCTCATCTGGGTTTGCCTGCTCTGTCAGTGTCCCACCGTGGTCTCCACACAGCTTGGCCTGCTCAGGCGGACCCCATAAGATCTTATGAACCTCATGTGGGGTCGCCTGGTCTCTCGGGTGTCCCACCGTGGTCTCCACACAACTTGATCTGGTCAGGCAGTCCCCACAAGATCTGGTCCCAATGAACCTCATGTGGGGTCGCCTGCTCCCTCAGGTGTCCCACCATGGTCTTCTCATGGCTTGATCTGGTCACGTGGTCCCTGCAAGATCTGGTCCCAATGAACGTCATCTGGTGTCGCCTGCTCCCTCAGGTGTCCCCTGTGGCCTCCCCACGGCTTGATCTGGTCAGGCGGTCCCCAGAAGATCTGGTCCCAATGAACCTCATCTGGGGTCGCTTGCTCCTTCGGGTGTCCCACCATGGCCTCCACACGGCTTGATCTTGTCACGCGGTCCCCACAAGATCTGGTCCTGATGAACCTCATGTGGCGTCACCTCCTGTCTTGGGTGTCCCACCATGGCCTCCACGTGGCTTGATACGGTCACGCGGACCCCACAAAATCTGGTCCCGATGAACCTCATCTGGGTTCGCCTGCCCCCTCGGGTGTCCCACCATCGCCTCCATGCTGCTTGGTCTGGTCTGGAGCACTCTGGGTGCCCTCTTGCTCCCTACCTGCTCCACGCCTTCTGCCGACTCCAGGCAACTGCATCCTTTTCCATCTCCAGGCAACTGTCCTGTGGTACCACCCTTCTGGAGTAGGTCTTGTTTTTATTGCCCATCCACCTCAACCCGCTCCCACTTCTCAGGGTCTTACTTCACACCCCGCCTGCTTCCAGCACTCAACTCACCTGCCTGGGGCTTCTCAGCTCCTGCCTGGTTACTGGAACTGCCCCTGCACATGGCCTGGAAAGGACTTACCACCAAGTGGATGACCCAGGAGGTAATGGACATATGATTGGATCTCATCTTGGCCAATCATTCTCTAAAAGAAATTTTGTAAGGAGTCAGAAATCTCTTCCACTTAAAAGCAGATGTCAAGAATCCAAACTCTGTGTCTGCCTCAAAAAACTGGAGATTTTCTATATGAAAAACATTCTGGTCAATGTGACCAGTATCACCAACACGATAATATAGACAGAATAACTCTTTCCGATTCTAAGTAACGTGGTGACTTTAGAGGTTTTTTAAATATTTATTTGTAAAATACACATAATATAAAACTTACCATCTTAGGCATTTTTTTTTTTTTTTTTTTTTTTTTTTGGAAACAGAGTCTAGTCTAGCTCTGTCATCCAGGCTGGAGTGCAATGGTGCAATCTCCACTCACTGCAACCTCCGCCTCCTGGGTTCAAGCAATTCTCCTGCCTCAGCCTCCCAAGTAGGTGGGACTACAGGCGTGCACCACCACGCCCAGCTAACAGTTTTGTATTGTTGTAAAGATGGGGTTTCACCATATTGGCCAGGCTGGTCTCGAACTCCTGACTTGTGATCTACCCGCCTCAGCCTTCCCATCTTAGGCATTTTTAAGTACACAAAAGTATATTCACATTGCATGAAACCAGTCTCCAGAACATCTTTGCACGCATGAAACAACTCTGCATTTCCCCGTCCCTCCAGCCTTAGTAGTCCCTATCTTAAGTTTTGTTTTTATGAATGACTGGATACTTCATATAATATCCTTTACTTTAAAAGATTCAAAGGTATCCCTAGGATGGGTGAATTAGCCACCCGATTTAGTGTGCGCGTAAACACTCTTCCCCGCCATACATTCATTCTGACACCATGTGCTGCGGGATGCGTTTGGGTGTTCGGGAGACTGTTGAACGTGTTTTTCTATTGGATTGGTTGCCTATTTATTAGCTTGTTGAAGTTCTTTACTGAGAATCATGTGTGCTACAAATACATTTTCTCTGTTTGTAGCTTGCCTCTTTAGTCTCTTAATGCTGTCTTTTGACACCAAAACTTTAAATGTGGTCAAATATATTAGTGTTTCCCTTTATGGTTATTGCTTCTTAATTGCCATTTATGGCATCTTTTCCTAATTTGATGTCCTGAAGATATATTTCTGTTATCTTCTAGATCAGTGCCATGCAATAAAAATATGAAGTGAGACACATATTGCCTATCTAGACTAAATATTGTCTATCTAGGCTAAATATCTAGTGTCCACATCAGAGAGAAAAAGGAACCTGATAAAGCTAATGTTATATCCAAATTATTTTACTTTCAAAGTTTCAATATAAAAATTGACACATGGCTGGTTATGGTGGCTCATGCCTGTAATCCCAGAACTTTGGGAGGCTGAGGCAGGTAGATCACATGAGGTCAGCAGTTGGAGATCAGCCTGACCAACATGGTGAGACTCTGTCTCTACTAAATACAAAAAATTAGCCTGTCATGGTGGAGCATGTCTGTAATCCCAGCTACTTGGGAGGATGAGGCAGGAGAACTGCTTAAACCCAGGAGGTGGAGGTTGCAGTGAGCCAAGATTGCGTTATTACACTCCAGCCTGGGCAACAAGAGTGAAACTCTGTCTCAAGGAAAAAAAAAAAATTGAGACATTTGACATTGTTCTTTCTACTTAATTTATTTATTTTCTCCTGCCTCAGCCTCCTGAGTAGCTGGGATTACAGGCGCCTGCCACTGCTCCTGGCTAATTTTTTTTTTTTTTTTTTTTTTTTTTTTTAATAGAGATGGGGTTTCACTGTCTTGGCCAGGCTGGTCTCGAACTCCTGACCTCGTGATCCACCCACCTTGGCCTCCCAAAGTGCTGGGATTACAGGCGTGAACCACCGTACGCAGCCCGTTTTTCCTACTGTTTAAAATTCTAGCGGGGCGGCAGCAGGAGCACCTCTGGAGGCCGCAGTCCAGGTCCTGGCTTCCGCCCCAGCCCCACCATGGTGACCCTTGCTGACCTGCTGGTGCTCCTAGCCGCGCTCCTGGCCATGGTCTCAGGCTACTTTATTAGCATCAACCCACATGCCGAGGAGTGCTTCTTTGAGTGGGTCGCCTCGGGTACCAAGATGGGCCTCATCTCTGAGGTGGTGGAGGGCGGCTTCCTGGACATTAATGTGGAGATAATAGGACCAGATAATAAAGGGATTTACAGAGGAGACGGAGAATCCAGTGGGAAATACACATTTGCTGCTCACATGGATTCCGAAGTTTGTTTTAGTAACCGGATGTCTACCATGACTCCAAAAATAGTGATGTTCACCATTGATACTGGGGAGGCTCCAAAAGGACAAGACATGGAAAAAGCAGCTCACCAGAACAACTTAGAAGAAATGATCAGTGAGCTAGCAGTGGCGATGACAGCTGGAAGGCACAAACAGGAATACATGGAAATCGGGAGAGGATACATGGAGCCATCAACAACAACACAAACAGCAGAGTGGTTCTTTGGTCCTTCTTTGAAGCTCTTGTTCTAGTTGCCATGACATTGGGACAGATCTACTACCTGAAGAGCTTTTTTGAAGTCCAGAGGCTTATTTAAGAAGCCTCTTCCTGGCTGGTCATGGTGGCTTACGCCTGTGATCCCAGCGGATCACGAGGTCAGGAGTTCAAGACCAGCCTGACCAACATGGTGAAACCCTGTCTCTACTAAAAATACAAAAATTAGCTGGGCGTGGTGGTGTGAGCCTGTAATCTCAGCTACTCAGGAGGCTGGGGAAAGAGAATCCCTTGAACCCAGGAGGTGGAGGTTGCAGTGAGCCAAGATCACACCACTGTACTCCAGTCTTGGTGACAGAGACTCTGTCTCAAAAAAAAAAAAAAGCCTCTTCCTGATGATCCTAAACTCTGAATTCACTGTTTGCCATACATCTTGGTCATAATAATATCATTAGTTTCTCCATTTTTATTTTCTGAACTATACATTCTCAACTTATATTTCTTTGTGATTAATAGATACTGGGATATTGGGGGGAAAATACCTTTTCAGGAAAGTTATAGTGGAAATTTGACAGTTGATTGGCATAATTTCTTATTTGAATGCTCCCTCCATTAAGTGAAATATGGGGTATAGTTTTTTATTATTTCTTTTTGTTTTCACAATAAAATGCAGTTTGTTCAGGAAGTCAGCACAAAGCCTTTACTGTACTAAAATGACTGCATTCTTTGGACTCCCTCAATTTGTGGTTCAGGTCACTAAGATTTTGTTGAGTCCTTACGAGAAACAACAGTATGAATCTTGATGGTTTCTGCCCATCCTAATGGCAGAGCTCTCTGACTTGGGCGTATGCTGCCAGGCTGGGTACTTTTCTACTTTGTTTTCTTGTTTTGCTTTAAAGCTACAACTCAGCATATATTTTGCCCCATACATTTTTACATTGAACCTTAGGACTCAGTCACCTCCAGTTAAATTGATGACACAAGTAGCTAATAATCATTTTTGGGTTTCTGCCTGACCTTCTAATTGTCTGTTAAAGCTAGTTCCCTGGGTGAGAGAATCGAAATGACTTTCTCTTGTTCTCTGATGATGGGTTTAAAATTGCCAGTGAGTGGTGGCTCTTTTTCTTTCCACACTGGCACATCCACTTCCCTCACTCTTGGCACATAAGAAACATGCATTTACATAATTGGAAAAATCTGGATTTCTGATGCCAAAGGGTTGAAGCCTCTTGGATTTCATTGCAGTGATATATAGCCACCATTTTATTTTTGATCAGCGGTCTTTGTTTCGGGCATCAGTGTCCGCCCCAGGGTTTTTGTTTCGGTCTTTCTTTAGGTCTTTCTTTTTCAGCACATGTAAATTTTGCTTTGTGTAAAATGAAATGACTTTCTCTTGTTCTCCGATGATGGGTTTAAAATTAGAAGAGCCTCTGGTTTTGGTATGGGGACGATCCAGGATTACATTATGACTCATATATATTAGTTGGACATTTTTTTTTTTATCTTTGCAACGGGAAAACTACAAGTAATGACTTTTACATAATTAAGTTTGTTACAGGTTTTCATGTTCAGGATAAACAATTTTTCAACCTTGGGTGAGAACACTTGCAACAGTTTATTGAGAAAGGTGACTTTCACCTCAGGACAACTGTTGTATGCGTGTGTGTGTGTGTGTGTGTGTGTAACACTTCAAAATTGATTTAAAATATGTAAACTTAAAATTGGTTGTATCTAACATGTCTCAGATTTGGTAAATAAATAATTCTTTTTAAAAACAACAACAAAATTCCAGTGTAAGTTCTACACTTAATAGCACGTCTCAAGTGTTCAGTAGCCATGCATGGGCAGAGCAGTGTGGCAGTCCTTCTGCTGTGGATCTGTGGCATTTGTCTGCTTGTCTGTGTTTTCCCCACTCCTACACTATCTTAATTACTATAATTTTCATGATGAGTTCTGATATCTGGTAGGCAAAAATGTCTTAGGAGAATGTGGACTAACCTTGGCTTTTTGCATTTCTGTATAAATTTTAGTTGTCAAATTCTCAAAAATATAGTGAGATTTTAATTGAGATTCTGTTGAATCTAGATATCTAAAGTCCCTGCCATGGTTCTGGAATCCTAGGGTGAATACAAATAAATTCTGGAATAAACAAGACCCGAAAAACATGAACAAAATCAAAACTGAGTCTCGCTCTGTCTCTAGCAGGGGCCTTGTGCCCTGTGAGCTCACAGGGGTAATGGTTCTTGCCCTTACTTTAACCCAGGGCAGGACTTACCCTCCTTGAGAACAGATGAGGTGCTTCCCACTCCTCATTCACCTCTACTTTCTCTGTCTCTGGCCCTGTGGTTTGTTCTGTGGCTACAGACTGAGTTCCATGGAGAAGCCAGGGACAAATGTAGAAGCTTAGGCCATCTGGCTGATCAGGCAGGGAAGGAAAGGAGCAGACTGTTTAGAGAAAGAAAATCAAAGAGGATTAACAAGATGGGAGTGAAGGCAAAATACAGATAGCCGTAGGTGACCAGGACCTGGCCATGGAAAGGGCTCCCGTGACTTACTGAGGCTGAATGCAGGTTTGCCGTTGTCTTGCTTCTCTTTGTCCACCAGGTCAGGCTGCTGAAGCCATGGTCCTGGCCATTCTGAACTGCACCAAAACTGCTCCAGGAGCAGGAAAAACATCTCCAAGATGAGATCTTTGAATCGCCAGCTCTGGTTGCAGGTGGCAGGGCTGGAGGCTGAGTTCTAGAAAGAAGGGCTATGAGGAGGAGTAGGGGGATCGATAGGGGAGTGACAGGAAAAAGTTCAGGGACCACAGCATTCGCAAACAGAGCTAGAAGTAGTAGAGGAATAGATAGAGGAGTCACAGGAAAGAGTTCTGGGACTAGAGTATTGGGAAGTAGTAGGGCTAGGATGAGGAGTACGGGGATAGACAGGGGAGTGACAGGAAGGAATTCTGGGACCACAGCATTGGCAAGCAGGGCTAGGAGGAGGAGTAGGTGGATAGATAGGGGAGTCACAGGAAAGAGCTCTGGAACCACAGCTTTGGCAAGCAGGGCTAAGAGGGCTAGAGGCATAGATAGGGAAGTTGCCAGAAAGAGTTGTGCGACCACGGCATTGGCAAATAGATAGTCTGTGATGAACAGCAGAAGAGCAGGGCAGGAAGAGTTTTAGGGTAGGGTAGTGGGGAGGGCAGGCATGAGCCACAGTGGGATAACAGTGAGAGCAGAAAACTGAAAAATCCACATACTTCTGGAGAGGAGAAAGAGTCTTGGCAGATTGAGGATAAAGGGGGGGTAAGTGGGTTGCCTTAGGAGAGCGGGTTGGATTACAAGGGTGGCGTGGATTAGGAGGGTGCGGAATCAAACTGGGTATCGGGCGGGGTGGAAATTGAGAAATTGGAGGGAGCCTTCTTGTCATTTCTTCATTGAGAATTCTAGTTAATCACTTGTCCCAGTGAGTCCAAATGAGTAACTGGGGTGTTGCCCAGACCTACTCCAGCATTTATCTCATGCCCACCCCTCGCATCATACCATGTCTGAATGCCCATTATGATGCCTATGTGCCCCTCCCTTTTGGCCTAGGGAGAGGATCCCAGTCTCTAGGTTTAAGAGTATCATGGCAAATAGCAAAGAGAAGAAATGGGGGCTGTAATATTAGTCCCCGTTCTGGGGATACCATATAGTTATGCCCCTCAGTAGGCAAAGTTTGATTAAACGGCCAAGAAGGAGTTAGGGGCTTGGGGCCTAGGAGAGTGGTTCTGAAGCAGGACTTGGGAAAATGGGAAGAAGTCAGTGCCCCAGTCTTTCACTTACATTTTTCAAAGTACTTTCACATCATTTATTTACTGTATGAATATATGTGATTAGAGGAGAGATGCTATGTTCACTGTATCAACGAGGACACTGAAGACCAGAGAGGAAGCTGCCATAGGAGGGGGTGACAAAGCAAGTGGGACTAGAACTTGGGCCAAAAGGAGGAGCAGGTGGGAGGGAGCACAAAATAGCCCAGAGTGCTGACCAGCAGCCTCAACTGCTGCTGTCTCTCTGGACAGGGTCCTGCAGGGGGCGCTTCAGAGCACAACTTGACTTTCTGTAGTAACCTCTTGGTCCCTGTTCCCCTGTCCTCTTAACAGGAACCATAAACATAGGGCCAATGCTAGCAGGAGGACTGCCCACTCCTGGACACGTAATGACTAGATTTAGACTTTCTTGCTGAGATATCTGATTCCATGTGGGATGGCTAAGAAGGCCCCTGCACACTTCTCCATTCTTTTGTCTGATGGAGCAACCCTCTCTGCTGAACATTCCTGGTTTCTGTGCTCACTATCCAAACCCTAAGCCCCTTTGTTCTCCCATTCTCTCCTGCACTCTTACCACTATATTCTGAATTCTCTCCCTTGGTCCAGCACCCCTTTCCTCCCACACTGCACAAAACATTCAGTTGTCGTCTCTGGAAGTCCAGCTGTATGACAAGCCAATGTCCTGATTTCCTTTGGCTGCTCTATCTTTGACAGTTCCTTGCATCTCCTGGCTGTAACTGTAACCTGGATTTCCCTTGAGGGCATTGCTTCCCTTGGATGTCAAGTAGAGATTACACATTCTCTCAAACTCCAAAGTACTTAAAGTACTTCAGGTGGGAATGTGGTTTATAGAGTCTCTTTGCTCCTTCCAATTCCTTGGGAATCATTATTTCTCTCCTCCTATTAGAAAATCTCTTGCTCTTAGAAACATGTGCTACCCACCCCCACTGCTAGTTCCCTGGCACTGCCACCTTCAGATCTCTTGGAAATTTTCAGTGAAAACTTTCACACTTTTCCTAAAGTCTTATACTTGAGTTCATCCTGACTGACTTGAATGTCCTTATGGCCTGATTTAATTCTGTGGCCTCTGCTTTTCCTAATTTTTGTTTGTTTGTTTACTTTTAAGAAGTTTTCCATATTTTAGAAGTTTTATTTTAATTGATATGTGATAATTGTGGATATTTATAGGATACAGTGTGATGTTTCTGTACATGTGTGCATTGAGCAATAGTCAAATCAGGGTATTTAGAAGATCTATCACCTCAGCACTTAGCATTTCTTTGTAGTGAAAACCTAAGTTTTTCCTTGGAGTTACTGTGAAAGTTTTTTCACATATTCTGAACATTAACTCTCCTTGTTGTATGCATAGTTTGCATTTTGTCACCAAAGTCCATCACCTGCATTCTAGTCCTTTTCATTACCCAAGAATTATCCCACTTACATGCTGTTCTGGCCACTGCCTCCTGTCCTTTTTTTCTTTTCTTTTCTTTTCTTTTTTCTTTCATAACAGGGTCTCACTTTGTCACCCAGGCTGGAGTGCACTAGTGCAATTTCAGCTCACTGTAGCTTCGACCTCCTGGGCTCAAGTGATCCCCTCCCACCTCAGCCCTCCAAGTAGCTGGGTCTACAGGCCCCTGCCACCACACCTGGCTAATTTTTGTATTTTTAGTAGAGACGGGGTTTCACCATATTTCCTAGGCTGGTTTCAAACTCCTGAGCTCAAGCAATCTTCCTGCCTCAGTCTCCCAAAGTGCTGGGATTACAGGCATGAGCCACCACACCGAGCCTAACCACACTGACTCTTTCCTTTATTTTACTCTTCTGAAGAGAAAAACCCAACCTGGTTGATTCCAAGTATTTGCCTTCCCTGTGGTGCTGAATGCTGCTGGACAAAATTTCATACAACCTGAAAATTTTCACAGGTACTGGAAGATTGATACTAGATTAGTTATCTAACCTTTATACTCTATCCTAAATAATATCCACAATACTCAATACCTATGAGAATTTTCATAGAAATACTGTGTATTAAAATAGAAAAAACAATCCGAAAGCTTATAAATAAGGGTTTAAGTAAATTATCATGCAGCCATACCATACAATGTGAAAAGAAAATTTACAAATACAAAAAATAAATAGAAGTAGATAGTTGAGGTGATATTGTGGCAGTCGAGGATGGGGGTGGGTGAATTATTAAAGTTGATAGTTGCTAGCAGCTTAAGTTTTTCTGCCTATCTAGATGCAACTAAAAAACTATTCTCACAGAAGAGGTCTCTAGAATCTGGATTTTTCTTAAATTAAAGTCTATCTTACCAAATTGAAACCCTGGAAATACATCTTGCCATGGTTTTGAGTCCAAAATTTAAATTACTTAGTGTGGAAAACTACAGGTGACAATTTAAATTGGTTCCAGGACAGTGTCAACTCAGGTGTTAGGAGGATGCACAGTGTATCACTCTGTAGGAGCATAGCTATAACCTAGGCCCCACAACTTCCCACAGAAAAGCCCCACTTAAGATGACTTCACAATCCACAATTACAAAACACATGAGTAAACAAGTCCCATGAGGGATGGTCAGCGGATACACAAAAGAACAGATTGACACATAACCCACCAAGAGTGTTATATAAGTAAAGGCAAATATAAGGATTTAAAGTTAAAAAAAAAAAAAAAAAAAGATTCTGAAGAACAGATGGCAAAAAAAAAAAATGCAGAATGAGCCGGGCGCGGTGGCTCAAGCCTGTAATCCCAGCACTTTGGGAGGCCGAGACGGGCGGATCACGAGGTCAGGAGATCGAGACCATCCTGGCTAACACGGTGAAACCCCTTCTCTACTAAAAAAATACAAAAAAACTAGCCGGGCGAGGTGGCGGGCGCCTGTAGTCCCAGCTACTGAGGAGGCTGAGGCAGGAGAATGGCGTAAACCCGGGAGGCGGAGCTTGCAGTGAGCTGAGATCCGGCCACTGCACTCCAGCCTGGGCGACACAGCGAGACTCCGTCTCAAAAAAAAAAAAAAATGCAGAATGAAAAATATTGTAATTGAAATAATAAAACCTAGTGGACAGGATAAAGTAAAGATTAGACACAACTTTCTAATACCAGAATTAAACGAAGATCATTGAAATACTAACTTAGTGAACAGGATAAACGTGACATTAAAAAACCATTAAAGACAGAAAAAGAGAATACATTTGAAGACATTATCAAGAGATAGCAGAAACAGATGAAAATTTAAAAATATAAAAGGTTAAGAGGTATGTAGGATAGAATATAAAAGTCCAGCATATGTCAGTAGAAAGTACCAGAAGGAAAAACTGGAAAATGAACAAGAGGAAGCATTTAAAGTGATACTGGCTGACTTTACTTTAGAAATAAAATAACTCATTTTCAGATTCAGAACACACAGTGATAGCGGAAAACATAAGAAATTCACATCTAGACAAAAAAGTGAAACTTTCAAACATTAAAGACAGCAGAATCAGTAAAAGGATAGTCAGATTATTTATAAAGAAATTAAACTAGAAGCAAACTTCATAAAACAAAAAAGACAAAAGTGAGTGGAATCATATCTTGTAAGTCTTGAGAGGAATTAACTGCCAATCTAGAATTTTATACCCAAATTATCATTCAAAAGTGGGTGCTCAGGAAAGACATGTTCATCATTGAAGATCAAGTGCTAAACAAAGACAGAATTTACTACTAATAAGCCCTTCTTAAAACAATAAAAGAGGCCGGACGCAGTGGCTCACGCCTGTAATCCCAGCATTTTGGGAGGCTGAGGCAGGCAGGTCACCTGAGGTCAGGAGTTCGAGACCAGCCTGACCAACATGGAGAAACCCTGTCTCTACTAAAAATTCAAAATTAGCTGGGCGTGGTGGCACATGCCTGTAATTCCAGCTACTCAGGAGGCTGAGGCAGGAGAATCACTTGAACCCAGGAGGCAGAGGTTGTGGTGAGCTGAGATCGCACCATTACACTCCAGCCTGGGCAATAAGAGCAAAACTCCATCTAAAAAAATAATAATAATAATAACCCACACAATAGAAGAAAGAGAAGAAATTTGATCCCAGGAAGAAGAAAATGCAAGAAACAAGGCTAGAGAGCAAGGGATTCTGAGCTCACATTGGTAAGTAGAAAGCCCCACTCCAGAGTGTCAGCAAAACTTGTTGCGGGGTGCATGCACACTGCTGCCAATAGGACTAAGAAGACAAGAATGGGAGAACACAGGAACCAGAAAGAAGCCACTTTCCTCTGCAGTGAACCTGTTTCCCCTTACTGACCTAGTATAACGTGGCATTGTATCAGCTGGTAAAGGAGAAATCCAAGTACACAGGATCCAGCTCCAGTATCACTACACAAGACAACCAAGCTGAGTTTGGGAGCTGAGAGGCAGTAAATTCATAACTGGCATAGCAGTGGGTAAAGAAACTGGTAAACACAGGTAAATCTGAATAAGCACCTTAGGAGTATAACCAACTTGGGCAATAGATAACCAACTTGGGCAATAGAAAAATTGAGGTGAAAATAAAATGCTGGACAATAGTAACAGGAAAGAGGAGGAGGTGATTAGTGGTAAATTACTCTTTCTGGCTGGGCATGGTGACTCACACCTGTAATCACAGTACTTGGGAAGGCTGAGGCAGGAGGACTGCTTGAGGCCAGGAGTTTGAGACCAGCCTGAGCAACACGGAAAAACCCTGTCCCTACTAAAAATAAAAAAAATAAAATAAAATAAAAAAGTAACCATGCGGCCGGGCGCGGTGGCTCAAGCCTGTAATCCCAGCACTTTGGGAGGCCGAGGCGGGCGGATCACGAGGTCAGGAGATCGAGACCATCCTGGCTGACACGGTGAAACCCCATCTCTACTAAAAAATACAAAAAAAAACTAGCCGGGCGAGGTGGCGGGCGCCTGTAGTCCCAGCTACTGGGGAGGCTGAGGCAGGAGAATTGCGTGAACCCGGGAGGCGGAGCCTGCAGTGAGCTGAGATCCGGCCACTGCACTCCAGCCTGGGCGGCAGAGCGAGACTCCGTCTCAAAAAAAAAAAAAAAAAAAAAGTAACCATGCATGGTGGCACATGCCTGTAATCCCAGCTTCTTGGGAGGCTGAGGCATGAGAATTGCTTGAACCTGGGAGGCAGAGGTTGCAGTGAGCCAAGATCACACTACTGCACTCCAGCTTGAGCCCCCGAGCAAAACTCTGTGTCAAAAAAAAAAAAAAAACTTTGAAAATTTCTTACACTTTGCTATAAGTGAATCAGCTTCCAAGATGCCTCATCCCATGGCCGTTGGTGAGAAGACTCAGCTCGTTGTTGATTGGTTGTGGAAGACCTCACTCTCTTACTATGTGGACCTCTTTCCAATTATTTTTAAAAAGCCATAACAGGCTGGGCACGGTGGCTCATGCCTGTAATCCCAGCACTTTGGGAGGCCAAGGCGGGCGGATCACGAGGTCAGCAGATCGAGACCATCCTGGCTAACACGGTGAAACCCCATCTCTTCTAAAAATAGAAAAAATTAACCGGGCATGGTGGCACATGCCTGTAGTCCCAGCTACTCTGGAGGCTGAGGCAGGAGAATCACTTGAACCAGAGAGGCAGAGGTTGCAGTGAGCTGAGATCGTGCCATTGCACTACAGGCTGGGCGAAAGAGCGAGACTTTGTCTCAAAATAAAGAAAATGAACCCTTCAGTCTTCCCAATGAGCCATGGAAGCTGACATGGAGCAGAGGCAAATTTGCCCCACCTAGCTCTACCCAGTCTTAGGACAAAAATTTTACTAAAATATGGGTAAATTTTCTAACAAGAGCCATGGACTTCAGACAATCTATGCAATAAAGTAAGGGTAGGTTCTTTTTTTGATGATAAACATTATCCGTGGATAAAATGAATGCCCTCTTTCAAAAATGCAGTACCAAAGATACAGTAATCAAGATATGCCCAAGTAATTAAATGTGAGAATCAGGCAAGTGCTTGGGCATGGGACCAGGATTTTCTTGGGAAAAATCTTGCATTTATCTTAACACATGAACAAATAATCAGTGTGTGGCTCAGGGCTCTATAAAGCATAATATTAACATATTGTCACTGGAAATCAAGTTTGGTTTGGGGCATGTAAAAGGGCTTCATAAACAAACTCTATACTAATGCAGAGTGATGTCATTGCTATTACTTTTAATATGATCATTATTCTCTTGGAGATTGGCTGGGGTTTACAAAATCATTTCACTTGTCCTGCTTCCTTGTACAAGTATTTTCAAATGAGGAGTTTATCATTATAATAATATGAAAATCAGGAGTAAAAATATTAAGAACTGCACTAGGAGTCTTCTTGAGATCTTCCCTTAATTATGGCCTGCCTTCTAATAGTTTTGCTTTAAGTAATTTGTAGAAATGACTAACACATGAAGAATAATCATTTTATGTAGTATTCTTTTTTCCTATAGAATTCACTGTATTGAGAATTTCAATTCACTGTTTAGAAGTTAAAGTCTATTAAAAAGTTCATACGCTAAGAATAGGGAATAAATTCAAGTTA